AAAGCCACTATCCCTTTCATGAAAAAGACCTGCAATCCTTGACTGCCCTCCCCCAGGCATCCCAGACAGCCAATAAGATTCACAGTGATGTTTATCACAGCATAGTGGAATGGATTAACCCCTTTCCAACCAAAGAGGCTGCATCAGAAAGCCTTTTACCAACAAAGGCTCTTGTGACATAAGTCATCTTAAATGACCATGATGAAATGGACAAAAACATTTCTTGAATCAGAGAAAGGTTTGCTGCAATGATACAAAATAAGCTATATAACAACAACTGCCCATATGATCTATGTGCCTAAAACATTAAAATTAAATAAATGGCAACAAGAAGAGCATACCTTCATCAGTGGGAATACCCCCCAAACTGAATGCAGTAGCAGGTGATTCCAGTGAAGAGTACATACCCAATACACAATTCTCTGAATGTAGTTAGAGCACAGTCCCTTTACAGATAGACGGATGTCAAAGTGGGCAAAAGTCAGGCAGGTTATAGTACTGTTTTTTTCCCAGTCCATTTGCAGTCCTGCACTTAAATATGAAATATATCCTGTCTTCATCTGAGAGGGTTGTTATATAGGCTGCTATATATTGCCTGTAAAACCTGAGAGCCAACCAGAAAAAGACACATGTATTATGCTTATTCTCCATTCTTTCAAACTTTTCAAAAATACAAAGCATCATACTAAATACTCTACATTGTATTACACTAACTGGATAATATTTCTCTAAGTGGTAAGTATATATTACAAAATATTAAAACCGACACCAATTAAATGTTAAAAGAAAAACTTTTTTATCTGACATTCTTTCATACAACTCGGAAAGGTTTCTATTCTTTCCTTAATATTGCATTGTATTATTACAGACTCAGATATACATTAGCCATTCTTTGACCCAATGTGAAAAATTACAGCAGCCTTGCGGCATCTTGACTGAAATCTTCCACCTGCTATCAGACAAAACATGACATTGGTATGTTTGCAAAAATTAAAAAATGAATGCCCTTCTGGTATTACCTAGAGCTCGATCTGAATCTCAGAAGTAAACCGTGAACGCCGACCTAAGATAACTTGTACGCGCGGAGGAATGAGTCACGCGGCACGTCTCTCAGCAGAAACAATGGGTAACGCTTCAGTCTCAGCCTAGCATTAGCTGTGATAGCACCGTGCATGTTTACACTAACTGAATACATATATTTAGACAGTAAAAATACATTTAGACAATGATAAACAGTTCCAGTAATTATTATTATATAATAAAATACATTTATAAATAAAGATTTCTTATTCATTATTTTAATATTAATAATAAACCATTAATACGTTTAATTATAATAATATTGTTGTGGCGAGCGGGACGGAACAGAGACAAAGGCACAGATGTCAGGGTATCGGGGAATACGGGGTTTAATTACAGGTAAGGCAGGCAAAATGTAGACTGACAATACAATGACCAGACTGGGGAAACAAACTGAAACGAGGCCGAAATACAGATCGAGGATTAATGACAACAACCAGAGAGAGCTGATCACATGTGGATTCCACACGGGGTTAACGAGAGGGCGTGTCACACGGAAGGAGCGGACGATCGGGATTCATTTATTTTCTTACTTTACAAATTACTGTTTTGATAAATGTGCTTAGATGTGTTTAGTACAGTATATGCTCTTCTTGTTTTATCCGGTTAATTTTGTGTTTAAATGCTAAAAAAAACATATTTAGGTGTAATTTTTTGGGGCCGGGAACCAATTAATTATAGTTTTCCATTATTTGTTATGGGGAAAATTCGATAACAACTCGAACTTTTTAGGATTCGATCTGGAGTTCTGAACGGATTAAATTCAAGTTCTGAGGTACCACTGTACAATATTAACAGAGTAGCAACACGATAAGTAACTAAGACTTATATAATTATATTAATTATTATATTAGACATATTAATATCAGCATGGGATTTTAGAAGGACAAAGTCTGTACTCGTGTTTTCCTCATGCCCAAAAATACAATTCGACTTCAAATAAAATAATGAAATGGTAATCTTGATATCAAATGTGGTCTTGTAATGTAATAGTCTTGGTATTACTACTGGAAAAAATGCATCCTAATTCACAAAAGAAAATGCTGTCCTGATAGTCCAGAGATGAAATCATGCTAAATGCTCATAGCACCCCTCAGTGGTACGCCAAAGCATATCCATGCATCTTCCATATATGTTCATTTTGTACAGGCCTGGATACGGTGGCCGAGAGAGCTCAACGCGCTGCAACTTCAGAAAACACATGCAAACAGAAAAAAACCACAACAAATTAAGAAAACGTCTCCATCAGTTTGACAACACAGGCGCTGCAAATATGGAAACGTGCTGCAAACACACGAACGCGCAGCAAACACACGAACGCGCTGCAAACAAAAAAAACGCGATGCAAACACAAAAAACGCGCTGCAAATAGCAGGGACCACAAAGGAAATGTTTCAGGGGGACCTCAAAAAGTGACGAACCCATCTGGGAGCTGATTATTTGTTCATATTACCTCTGGGCACAGCCTGGCATGACACCGGTGGCCTGTACTACGAAGTGGGGTTACTGGCTTATCGAGGTAACTTGTCGGATTTAAGGTACCACAGTTTAAATGGACTTCATATTCGTTCACTTACATTTTGCCCAGACTACCTTAAATCCGACAAGTTATCCCGATAAGCCAGTAACCCCGCTTCGTAGTACAGGCCACTGGTCCTCACCTGCAGGTTTAGGGTCATTCTCCACGACAAAACTAACATTT